GGCATGGTCCATTTCTTCATTCCTCACAAAGGGTGACATCTCCCCAGCATGCACCCAGGGGGCGGGGGCGATGCAGCAGGGTCTGGTTCCTCACTGTTTCTAGACAGCCTTGTGGAGCTAAGACTCAATGCGTTTCAGCATAGATGGCCACCACAAAATTGTACATATGCTCCCGGCCTGGGCCAGGGCCAAGGCAGCAGGAGCCGTTCCCTCACTGTTTCCAGAATGGCTTCGTCGGCCACATGAAACCACTTCGCGGGCTGCATCCGGGCCCTGGGCCTTGTGTTTGACATGTCTGTTTTAGAGATTGAGTGCCCAAAAACTGGCTCTGCCCCTGCTCCACCCCTGCCCCGCCCCCATCTCGCCTGCCCACAGGGTCACTCATCGCCTCCAGGGCCCGTCGCAGATCGCCCAGGCAGCCCAGCAGCACCATGCCCTCTGCCCGTGCCCCGCAGCATCAACTGTGCGGGATGGGGTGTGAGGGCAGAGTCTTATCTACGCTGCCTGGCTGCCATGTCCTTGGCTGCGCTACTCCGTGTGGGCCACACTCGGGGGCGACTCTCCTCCAGGGGGGCTGCTGGTGAGGAGGGGGTCGTGGGGGGAGGCAAGGCTGGGGCAACAGCACGTGTGCCCACAGAGAGGGCTCCGAGTGCCGCCTCTGGCACACGTGCCATAGGCTCGCCACCACTGAGATAGATAGTTCCTAAGTAGAGACAGAGATCTTAACAAACTATGATGGAAATCCATCAATCTAGCTGAGTGCCAGCTAGGAAAAAGAGTCTTCTCATTAGCTGCGTTCTATTACAGAAGGACCAAGAAGTTCACCTCCTCCATTTGTTTGTATGTGTGTGTGTATAGATTATTTTTAAAAAAACTGATATTCTGCAAGCTTTTATGGTAAATTATGAAATTTTTCACACTAACCAAGTTCCTTTGTTGATTGGATGCCGCTGTAAGTAGTTCTCTTGCTTCATGAGGGTAGTATTTTAAAACATTTAACATCCCAAGAATGAGCTTGCTAGCATTTCCCTAGCATGCTGCTCATCCAGTTATCCTGCTAGCTCGGATGGATCATTTCACGTCTTGAATTGTGATCAAAGCTAAGCGAGCCCAAAAGAATGTTGGGAGCCTACGCAGCTCAAATGGGACACTGTGAGACTGTTTGTGGCTCATTAGCAAACAAGCCCCCTAAGCTTTGAGGCCTACCTTTAAAGAGGATGAAAGGTATTGTTGAGTCAACTGCATGGAACTTAGAGTGTTTAAGATATCTTAGCTATGACATCAGAAGACACCAGAACCATTTCATGGGCCAAACTTCTTTCTTTCTTTCTTTCTTTCTTTCTTTCTTTCTTTCTTTCTTTCTTTCTTTCTCCCGTGCTTCTGCTTTCCGAATCATTAATCCAAGACTGAGAAGGTGACGTCTGCTACTTTTTATTCCAAAAGACAGGAATAATGCCTTTTATTTTGGTAGTATCATCCGTGAATTTATAGAAGATGCTAGAGTGGGCACTGTTTATGGTGAGACCTACTGGAACCAGATCCAGCTGAGTATTGTAAACAGGGCATACTTCAGCTGTGAGGTATTATATTTAGCCAGGCACCCAATAAGATTGTAAGAAACATGAGGTAAGAGGCCTTATGTGTAATTCTGATGGCAACGTTGTAAATATGGCATTCAATGATCTAGACCAGGGGTGGGGAATGATGGCCCTTTCATGCTGGCTCAGGAATTCTGAGAGTTGAAGTCCACAAGTCATAAAGCGTCCATTGTTCCCCACCTCTGATCTAGACCAGGGCTTTTCAACCAATGGTATGGGTACCACCTGTGGTACATTGGAACCTGGCAGGTGGTACGCAACCATCCTAGAAAAGTGGTAGTGGGGGAGGGGAATGAACTGAACCGGTGGCAGCACCGCACAAGCCTGAGCGAGAGATGGCTGGAGCTGCAGGGCTGTCAGGGCTCAGTGGAAGCGCCAGGATCAGTGCTTCTTCGGGGCTGTCAGGGCTCAGTGGAAGTGCCAGGATCAGCACCAGGATCAGCGCTAGGCTCCAGCTGGAGCTCGGTGCTGATCCTGGCGCTTCTGAGCCCAGAAGAAGCGCTGATCAGCTGGAATGTTGCAGCATCTCCAGGGTCTTGGAATTTACATTCAGATGCTTGGCAACTGACTCATATTTATGATGGTCACAGTATCCCAGGTCATGTGAAGTGACCAAAACCTGCTGCAACCACCCAGCAGACGGGGGGAATAAAAACCAAACACCCCCTCACCCCACCCCCACTGCCAACCCTTAACAGAAATGCTCACAACAATGGAAACCTCAGACAGAGGAAGAGCGCCGCCGGGTGGGCAGGCAGGTGTCTTGCTCGGCTGTGGCTTGGGGGGCACTTTTTTCAGTGCCATTGTAACTTTGAACAGTCACTAAGCCAACTGTTGGAAGTCGAGGACTACCTGTACTTTATCACTTTTTTTCCTTTTTGGGGGAGGGGGTCATCAAATTTTTGACACCTTGCTAAGCGACTGGTGGTACTCGGATATTGCCATATCCTAAAAGTGGTACAATGGGTGAAAAGGTTGAAAAGCCCTGATCTAGACCATGGGTGGAGAACCTGTAATTGCATAAATGTTGCTGGCAATTCCTAGAATTCCTCACAATTGGCCAAGCCTGCTAGGACCCATAGAGGTTTGGAGTACATTTCCTCCTCCTGTTTTAGAAGATAGAAAATAAAATACATACACACACGCAATATGAATGCATGAATTTTGCCAGCAGTGCATCAGATCAAAATAACCCTCACCTTTTGCTGATAGCAATGTTATTTGTTTCTAAACTGCAATAGCAGTTGAACTGAGGAATTATCAAGGTCACTTTTTATGTAAAGAAAGGGAATAAACCAGGGGTGTCAAACTCGCAACGTCACGTGACGTGTTGCGACGTATTGTGACTTTTTTGCCATTGCAGACAATGGGGTGGGCGCGGTTTCGCTATGATGCATCTGGCCCGTGGGCCGACTGTTTGACACCCCTGGTTTAAACCCATTCATTTTATAATTTGACAAGACAACAGAGACCTTTGACTGGGGAAATAGTGCTGGAGAGAAAAGTTTGAAGGTTGTTGATTTTTATTTGTATCTTCTGAGGCGAGGAAGGGATCAACTACTTGCTACTCAAGAGCTTCTTCGCTAATGACTTAAGTTATTTCATTGTTTAAAACTATTTAAATGCCAACAACAGGTATCATACTTTTGAAATCATACCACAAAGTATCACTGCAAGCCGGCAGGAAGAGAAAACTAAACTAATGTATTAACAGTGAAAAAGTCTATAGAATTGATTTGCTTTCTTTGAGCAAGGCAAAAAAGAATAAGTTACAAAACTGCTAACATAATTTTGCATTCCTCCCTTTGTGGCCTATCGGGTCATTGTGATGCAACTAGAAATTCAAAACCCTTCCCAGCCAGCCTGTCAAGATGGAAAAAGTCCATGGAGATTCTCAGCCATCCATGGGTTGTCATGGGTTGTCTCAAAAGTGCTTTTTCCAAAAGGCAACTGGGCGTAGTTTTTTTAATAATAATAATAATAATAATAATAATAATAATAATAAGAAGAAGAAGAAGAAGAAGGAAGGGACCTTGGAGGTCATCTAGTCCAACCCCCTGCTCAGGCAGGAAACCCTATACCATTTCAGACAAATGGCTGTCCAGTCTCTTCTTAAAAACTTCCAGTGTTGGAGCATTCACCGCTTCTGGAGGCAGGTTGTTCCACTGGTTAATTGTTCGAACTGTCAGGAAGTTTCTCCTTAGTTCTAGGTTGCTTCTCTCCTTGATTAGTTTCCACCCGTTGCTTCTTGTCCTGCCTTCAGGCGCTTTGGAAAATAGCTTGACTCCCTCCTCTTTGTGGCAGCCCCTGAGATATTGGAACACTGCTATCATGTCCCCCCTCGTCCTTCTCTTCATTAAACTAGACATACCCAATTCCAGCAACCGTTCCTTATATGTTTTCGCCTCATTTCTCATCCAAGAAGCTTCTTCAGTTCTAACTCACAGAACTAAAGGAGCTTCTTGGATGAGAAGTAAAACGTCTTCAGGGGAAGAAAAAAAACCCTACAAAAGTTTCAGTTGCCTTTTGGAAAAGCACCTTTGGGGCAAGATGGAGATGCTTAAGAAACCCCAGTAAAGCTAGACAAGAATCCTTTACTTCAGGAGGCAAAGACAAAAAGGCTTTAATAGGTTAAAGTAAGAAAGATACAGCAAGTGCCATATAGCAAAAAGAAACGAGAGTTACAGATTCCAGCTCCGTCCCATTCAGCTGATGCCTGGCCTGGCCCCCTCCCCTCCCCTCCCCTCCCACCCCCACAATTCCTTCTGCCCCTCCCCTCCCACCCCCACAATTCCTTCTGGCACAGGTATGGAAAGGGAAACCCAGGGCAGAATTAAGGAGGCAGGTGCAGTGTTCAGAATGCTATGATTCCTATGGGAATGGGGAAGACGGACGGGGAAGAGCACTTTCTCCAGTTTATGGAGTGACTTGGCACAAAAGGGTTGCCGGTTACAACACCCACCTTGCCTGCAATCATGACCCTTACGCATCACTAGGAAGAGGGACCAAGGTAATCCAGTAATCACCTCTGCACAAAAGGCTCCGAGACTGGCCACTGATTCATCAAATGACAGAAATGGTCCATGTCTCTCTCTCTCTCTCTTTCTTCTGGTCCCCCCGCAGTACAGAAAATGGCAAGATTATTATTATTTTTTGTCAGCGACTGCAGGCAATCTTTGTACGCACATCGCTGAACCGAACTGGAACTCCCTTAGCAACTTCTACAGAGGGTTGCTAGAGCAACCAATCCCACCTTCTCCACCGGTACATTTTTTTCAGGGAGACAAATTACAGCAAGGGATCATGTATTTAAAAAAAAAGGAAAAGAATATCGAGTCAACACAATCTTGTACAAGCACAATTTTGTTTCAAAAATATTAAAAAGCACCCTCCCCTCCCCTCCCCTCCTCCCGACCCCGGGCACGATGGCGAGAACGCTGGACAGCTGGGGCAGCCCTGGCAGATCTAGCCGCTTCTCATTTCACTCCTGGGCTGTGGCCTCTCTGTAGCCTCTCCTAAGAGAGCCGGGCAGAGAGAATGAGAAAGCAAAGCTGTGGAGTCCAGCCCTTGGTCTAGAACTGGGAGGGGAACAAAAAGAAATCGATTAATTCAAAATTGTATTAATGCTACTCATGCAGTTCAAATTAACCAAAGCAAATACCATCAATGTCTACACACAGACACAGACACACACACACACAGGCACCCACAGCATAATCACTGCAGTTTTTAGGACCGTACTCGCAGAGGTCCCCAACCTTGGCAACTTTAAGACTTGTGGACTTCAACTCCCAGAATTCCTCAGCCAGCAACATTAAGACTTGTGGACTTCAACTCCCAGAATTCCTCAGCCAGCAACATTAAGACTTGTGGACTTCAGCTGCCAGAATTCCTTAGCCAGCAACTTTAAGACTTGTGGACTTCAACTCCCAGAATTCCTCAGCCAGCAACTTTTAAGACTTGTGGACTTCAACTCCCAGAATTCCTCAGCCAGCAACATTAAGACTTGTGGACTTCAACTCCCAGAATTCTTCAGCCAGCCCTGAGGGCTGGCTGAGGAATTCTGGGAGTTGAAGTCCACAAGTCTTAAAGTTGCCAAGGTTGGAGCGCTCTGTCCTAGAGCAGGGGTTTTCAAACTTTTCTGTACTGCAAAATCCGTTTGTTCCAAAAATAAATGCTTGAACCGCAATCCACAAAATGGTGTCTCTTCATGGGAGAACAAGGCCTACTATTTCCATAGTACAGGCAGTCCTGAACAGACAGCCAGAATGGAGCCCGTCCATTATGGTTGTATGTCTTAAGGGTCCATTTCATAGCTCAGCCACACGACTGACCCATTTTAGGACCTTTTTGCGGCAGTCTTTAAATGAATTACTGTGGCCGTTAAATAATCGCCGCAGTTGTTAAGCGGACCAACGGTTCGCATATTGGTGTAGTTTTGCTCAAAACCAGAAGGGCTGTTATTCAGCCAAACTGTCCTAAAACATGGTCACATGACCCCAGGAAGCTGAAAATGGCCGTAGGTGCGGCTGTGTTGCCCAGCGTCAGAGGTTTGACCACTTGACTGCGGAGGGATCCAAACATCAGAACTTCGAAACTAGATTGTTGTTGTTGTTGTTAGTTGCGAAGTCGTGTCCGACCCATCGCGACCCCATGGACCACATTCCTCCAGGCCTTCCTGTCCTCTACCATCTTCTGGAGTCCACTTAAGCTCACGCCTACTGCTTCAGTGACCCCATCCAGCCACCTCATTCTCTGTCGTCCCCTTCTTCTATTGCCCTCAATCTTTCCCATCATTAGGCTCTTCTCCAGTGAGTCCTTCCTTCTCATTAGGTGGCCAAAACTAGGTTATAAGTCCCTTTTTTTGGATCCATTGTTAAACAATTGGTCATAAGTGGAGAACTACCTGCCTGTGTCAGCCATTCAGGGCACACCAATCTAGGAAACCAAGGAGGCATGCAGGCCAATAAGATTATGGTAACAGAACCTTGCAGATCTGCCTTTCTCCCCTCCTCCCCTCTGCCTTTGTGAGAACTAGGGTGGGTTTTGTTTGAGACATTTTCTCAAGTTATAGTTTTGTCGCAGACTCGGGATCCTATTGTCTGACTGTTGTCTTGGTAACAGCCCTTCCTCCCGTTTCTCAAGGTTACTCCTTTTGCCTGTTACAGTATGATAGAAAAATAACTACGGGTGCCCTGTATTTGAACAAATCTTCTCTGTTGTCTTTAGTCTCTCCATCAAGTTCTCATAAGGACCCTGGGGATTGCAGAATGCAGTTCGAAAATAACTACCTTATGAGCAAGACTCAAATTGCTCTGAATGTTGTAATGGAATAAAATACGCCTCCCGTTTTACTGCCCTCCCCCCTGAAGCCTTCGCATTTAGTGTTCATAACACTTCACGACATTCATACCACACCAAGCACAGCGTTCTACAAGGGGCAATTTGATTCTCACTAGAGCTCTTTTCTATAATGAGCCACAAATTCCAACTCATTTATACAACACCATTTTTTCATCCTGTAATAAATAACTCCTGATGGTAAATCAGTACACAAAAATATTCATTTCAGGCTTACAGATGAGGGATTTGAAATTAGGACTCCAAAGCTCACAGATAACATTGGAAGTAAAGGCCTTCTTAATTCTAAAGGTTTTAAAAGGCCACAGCTCCCATATTTCCCATTTTAATAATTCTAATAAGCCCTGCCTAATAAACATCCAGAAGAGACTGGTGACTTTTGACGCGCTATTTTGATATCTTTCTTATAAGATGTCTAAATAAGCTCTTACATTTTTAAGGAACTCTTCTGCCACAATGCGGGCCCTGGCATTGACCGACAGCTTCATTTCACTGACTTCTTTGTCAATTTCCTCCATAAAATGAATGACAAAGTCCACCAGCTTGTGCTTGTACATCTGCTCTGTATGGAAATTTGTGATCAAGAAGCTGATGTCGTAGCCCTAAAAAAAAAAAAACCACATAGCAAATTATTAGCATAAGTGAAGCCAAGATTCAGCCATCATTTTTTCTATACTGTTGACTATTGATTCAGCATAAGAAAAAAATAATCTAGGGTTTTTTTTGGGGGGGGGGATTGATTGGGATCTATACTGTGCATAAGAAGTAAGTTCTGCCATATTAATATTCAAAATCGGTCTATGCTACCTACATAGCAAGTCCAACAGTTGAAAAAGAATCAAGGGAACAGAAAAAATACTCTATGCAATGATAAGAGAACATTACCAATTATGCAGATACTTATTTAGTTTAGTTAGCTACTCGTATTCAGCCTCAATCTAGTTTTTCCAAGTATATGTATAAAAAAAAATAGACATTATCTTGACAGCTAGCAGAAAAACCAAGTCTCACACAATTCATCCACGGTTAAACAGACCAAATCAGAGATAAAAGCAGTCTAATAAAGTCATGTTACTTGATTTTGTGAAAAGAGATTGTTATTGTTATTGATTTAAATCTGCCTTAAAGATAAGAGGCACATTGAAATTGTATGCCTGCTGGAAAGCTTAAGATGTGAAGTAACCTGGTACACGTTGGTACTACCACTACTGTCAACAGACAGAATCACACACTTAAAGACAACAGTGACTCCGTATTTCCCACCTCAACTGGTTTCCGACGTAAAATGAAGAAATTTTCTGCTCTCATCATCATGAACCGCATAAATTTGTGACACAGAATTTTCTCAATCTCATCAGCCTGCCAAAGGAAAATAGAAACCCATGAACATTCTCTCCAGGATGAGCTCCAGTTTAAGTACCTTACCTGTAACACGTGTAGCTTACCTGTTTCACAGCAATGCTAACTCGCACAGAGTTGATAGAACCTTCAATTAAGACTTTCTCCTTCTCATTCCTGCTAATGATCACAGGCTGCAAGAGGAGTTCTTTGCTGCTTCTGCAAACCCACAAAGACATTTTTACATCAGAGACTGGGCAATACAGGGGGCCCATCCGTTCCAGCCTCTGGGTATATTTTAATATACCAGTAGTGGCGAACCTATGGCCCGGGTGCCAGAGGCGGCACTCAGAGCCCTCTCTGTGGGCACTCGTGCTGTCGCCCCAGTCTTAGGCCTTCAGCTAGGTTTTATAAAACATTTTCGCTTTAGGCCTCCGCCGCCGTGTGCAAAAAAAGAAAAGGTTCAATCAATCAGTCAATTTCAACTTCTTGCGGGGAAAAAAAGATCTTCCAAAGTTGGAATTGATTGATTGAACTTTTTAGTCCCACCCAGTCTGCTGTTACCACCGCGGCCACGCCCACACAATGGGCCACGCCCACTCAATGGGCCACACCCACCTGGCACCCAACGAAGCATAAGTGGGTTTTGGGTTGCAGTTTGGGCACTCGATCTCTAAAAGGTTCGCCATCACTGTAATATACCCTCATAACCAGTCATCACCCCACTCATTATATTTCCAAACCCACAATCGTGAAATGTGCTTCTTGTGATGAAAATGATTGGAAAATTACACCAAGAATCAACAATGATGCAGAACAACGACTGACAGGCTGCTGTAGATAAAATGGGCTGCAGGTTGCTTAACACATTATTTCAGCAACAGAAAAGATGGCTGTATACCTGGACAGCTCCAAATAAATAACTCCACAATCAAATATATACAACATCTTACATAGCAACAGGAAGAAAAGCTCTAGGCTGAATTTTAAAACACTCCAGATGCTGACTGTGGATCAGACCATGACCTACTAATAGGAGTATACATCAGATTGGAAAAAACTAGAAAAGATAAAATCCTAATGAGATAGAACCCATTCCAGAACAATACAAGATTCAGGCTAGAAACAGATTTAAAGACCTGGGCCTATATAGAGAGAACATGAAGAATTGAGGTAAGAAGTTAAAGTGATTGTTAAGTTATTAAAGTAGGAAACATATAACAAGAGCCAGAAGGAAAGAAACAAGACTGGCTATCAAACAAGGCCACAGAAATAGCTATGGAAAGAAAATTGGCAAAAGCCAAAGGAGATCTTGGGAAAAGCAGAGAATTTAATGAAAACTTCCACCAACCAACTAAAATTGATGAAAACAAAGTTTATCTGTGTATATAGCAGTCAGTATCCTTACAACACTTAATTAACAAAATTCCACAGAAAACTATTGCAACAGACATATAGTTAACCAGATGCCTAAATTATCTTTATGAATAATGAATCATAAAAAATAAAGCTCTCATCCAGTAGTTCTCAACCTTTTCTTGATTACAGACTCCATTTAAATACCCTTTATGGCCAATGACTATGACCACGGACCCCCAAGACGTAAGATTTGAATCATAACATTTCTTCCAAGCCTTGGATGACCCTGTCTCATGACATCGTGGACCTCCAGGGATTCACTGCTCTCATCCATCAGGCCATTGCTCCATTCAACGATTTGGTTTTTTTTTTAAGGAAGAGCTTTGCCCACTGAACTATAGGCCTTCTTCACTGTACTCTTTTTCTTAATAGAGTTTATAACTAGTATACTGTATATGCCGGAAAGGAGATGCTACAAGATTGTTTTGAGGAACAGTCTGTAGGTGAAATCTATGGAGAATCAGGATGGGACTGGCTAGGAATTAACACAGAGCAACTGTTTTATGCTAATTGGGGAGGGATTAGGGTCAGGGTTGGGTAGGGCAGGGCTAAAAGGCCTCAAATGATTGTTGAAAGGAAATACACCTTGCAACAAATGTAAGCAAGGTGGACCTAGACAGCAATACGATCCACTATTTTCCAAAGCGCCTGAAGGCAGGACGAGAAGCAACGGATGGAAACTGATCAAGGAGAGAAGCAACTTAGAACTAAGGAGAAACTTCCTGACAGTTAGAACAATTAACCAGTGGAACAGCCTGCCTCCAGAAGTGGTGAATGCTCCAACACTGGAAGTTTTTAAGAAGAGACTGGATAGCCATTTGTCCGAAATGCTATAGGGTTTCCTGCCTGAGCAGGGGGTTGGACTAGATGACCTTCAAGGTCCCTTCCAACTTTACTATTATTATTATTATTATTATTATTATTATTATTATTATTACTTCAAGACATTAAGTACAATAAAGTATGGGGGTGGGACGGAATGGAGATTGAGCTAATAAAAGAAAACCTGTTTCTGCAGCACATACGGTATATCACTTCAGATCCAACAGCAAAGCAGCAAGAATACTCTAGATTTATACAAGAGGATTTTTTACACTGATTCCTTCTTATATTTATTTCTTTTTTTGTCAACTTAAGAATATAAAAGTTCTGAAAGATGAGAGCCATGCGGTATATTATTTCTACTGAGGCCACACTACTGAGGCCACTCCCAAGCAAAAAATGGATCTCTAACACTCTCTTGTGTTCTATAGCAATTCATATTTGAAACTTGGTCTACAATACTCATGAATATATTGATAACCATCACTGTATCATATGGCACAATGTTTGAAATTTGAAAACCACCTCAGATACATTTTAGTTATCTCGGTATCTAATAAATTAATGTGTGTTGAACCAAAATGGAAACAACCCATAAATGGTACAGTCCATAATTTGTTGCAGGAGAAACTAGTGAATCCAATATTCACTAGACTTATCACGTGATGCATGTAGACTAGACTTCATCAGATGGATGTAGAACTAACATTTTTATGTCACATAAAATACTGTTATATCTATTAAAACATAACACACAAGAATCCATAAATTCAATGTAGGAAAAGGCAAGACAGAGCTGAGAAAATTGTAATAAGAGTTCAGTGTATTTTTTTTTAAGTTGCCAAGTAATGCATAAAGAAACATACAGTACTTGCAAAAAGAAATAAAGGCAACGCTGAGGAAGGTGGGAAGGAAATGTGGAAGCTTATAAGCCATTTTACACCAGCAGCAACCATTCATGACCTGTGGCTGCACAGGAACTAAAGGTCTATTTAAGAATCACAAATTTGGAATTAAGTAGTGGTATGAGGCAGTATCACAACATAACGGTATAATATATAAGAATATATAAACCAGGAACATTAGGTTGAAAGCTATTGCAACCATAAAATGAAGCAGACCATAAACAGAAGCAAAATATTACAACTTTATTGGTGAACCAACTGACTCTAAAGCTCAAAAGACTGAATAAAAGGCTTTTTAAAATTTCCAGAAGCATTTTTTTGGTATGATTGTGTGTTTGTGTGATACAATACTACGGGAAACCTCAGAAAGTGTAGGACAAGAGAACAGAAGTGAAAGATGTGTGCGGATTCTTTTCACTAAAAACTTAGTCCAACAAATTAACTGAATATTCCTTTTCTGGTTTCATGACAATTTATAGGACATGTCATTCATTTTGACACCTCCGTGCTGTTTTCACAATTTTGCATGCCATCAAATTCTGTCCATCTACTGTCTATACATTTATATCCTATCTTTTTAAATAACTCAGGGCAGCCAACATGCCCAATACTCCTCCATTTTTCCCCACAACAACCCTGTGATGTGGGTTAGGCTGAGAGAGTGTGACTGATCCAAAGTCACCCAGCCAGCTATCATGCCTAAGGTGGAACTAGAACTCACAGTCTCTTGGTTTCTAGCCTGGTGACTTAACTATTAGACCAAGCTACTTAGACCAAGCTACTGATCAAAGAGAGAAGCAACCTGAAATTAAGGAGAAAGTTCCTAACAGTGAGGACAATTAACCAGTGGGACAGCTTGCCTTCAGAAATCGTGGGCGCTCCATCACTGGAGGTTTTTAAGAAGAGACTGGACAGTCACTTGTCTGAGATGGTATAGGTCAGTGATGGCAAACCTTTTAGAGACTGAGTGCCCCAAAACCGGCCCCACCCCTGCCCCGCCCCTGGTCCCACCCATTCTGTCCCCATCTGCCCTAACCCCGCTCCGCCCCCACCCACCTGCAGGGCCACTCACCGACACCACAGCCAGCCGCAGATCGCCCAGGCGACCCAGCAGTGCCATGGAGGCCACACCCTCTGCCTGCGCCCCGCAGCATCAACTGCACGAGACAGGGCACGAGGGTGGAGTCTTGGCCCCACTGCCCAGCTGCCATGTCCTTGGCTGTGCTGCCCCACGCGGGCCGTGCCCGGGCGCGACTTTCCTCCAGGGAGGCTGTTGGGGAGGAGGGGGCGTGGGGGGAGGCAGGGCTGGGGCGACGGCACGCGTGCCCACAGGGAGGGCTCTGAGTGCCGCTTCTGGCATGTGTGCCATAGGTTCGCCACCACTGGTATAGGTTCTCCTGCTTGAGCAGAGGGCTGGACTAGAAGACCTCTAAGGTCCCTTCCAGCTCTATTCTATTCTTTATCTTTAGTAGCCTTAAATATCTATCAAATAGCTTTGAATAAAATCAAAACATCTTTAAATAGCTTTGCCGTCAACTGCCCTTTAGGTTTGTATTTGCTGCTTTAATAAATTAGAGCAAATATTCTCATTTTAAAAGCCTTTTTCTAAATCCAATTTCTGAAGGAAGGGAAGGCTAGGCTATACCTGCCTGACAAGGCCTGATAAAACTTTTTGGGCACATTATGTGCTCTGCAAATGACTGCAACGCTGGGAAAAGTGCAAGGAAAGAGAAGAATAGGATGACCGACAGCAAAGTGGATGGATTCAGTTTACAGGGGCAATGAGTGCACCATTGAGAGACATGAAAACACAGGATAAGAATCGATTGTCATAGAGAAAAATCTATACGGCTGCTAGGAACGGTGGCACATAATCAGCGTCCCCTGCATCAAATGTCAGAAAAACGTCATCTGTCTCCCAACTTAACCTTCATGCACAAACCTGACTTCCACCTCGGGTTTGTTGTGCCGCTCCACCACCTGGGAGGAGAAGTTCTCCAGGCACAAGGCAGCCTGCAGGGTGGCACGCACCGCATTGAGATAAGGGCGCAGAGTGGCTGTCTGTAGGAAGGAGAGGGAAAAAGCAGGTTATCAGGAAGTTGGGAGATCCTCTAAGCCAGGGGTAGGCAACCTGGGCTCTTTTATGATTCGTGGACTTCAACTCCCAGAATTCCTGAGCCAGCCATGCTGAGGGGGGAAAGGGAGAGGTTTTCATGCTGAGCTATGCTGGCTCAGGAATTCTGGGAGTTGAAGTCCACGAGTCATAAAAGAGCCAAGGTTGCCTACCCCTGGCCTAGCCGTATCTTCCCTGCCAGACGTGGCCATTTGTATTTAGAGCAGGGGTGGGGAACCTCGGCTCTTTTATGACTCGTGGACTTCAACTCCCAGAATTCCTGAGCCAGCATGGCTCAGCTTGGAAACCTCTCCCTTTCCCCTCAGCATGGCTGGCTCAGGAATTCTGGGAGTTGAAGTCCACGAGTCATAAAAGAGCCAAGGTTGACTACCCCTGCTCTAAGCCTACTCCTTGAAATTCCCCCCTCCCCCCGTCGAGCAGCAGTCTGCCTGCCCCCCCCTTTCTCTTTCTGACGTCAGGGCTTCCCCAAAACCACAGAGGCGGGCGTCCTTTCCAGGTTTTGCTGCCTCGGATCCCCTGCAGGACCCAGCGATCCGGGTTCCGATCTCGCCCAAAGGGTTTGGCCGCCGCCTCGCCTCTTCTCCGCCTCCGCTCCCGTCCTGCCAAGCTACTGACCCGCTCTCCATGCAGGCCTCCACCGCTCTCCCTGCCCGCCCCCACCGTGCCTTCTGCCCCTCCCTCTCTCGCCTTTGCCCCCCCCCCCAGGGCCGGCATCCCTCCGGAGCCCACCGCCCACTCACCATGGCAGCTAAGGGACTGGCCGCGGCTGCACCCCCGAGACCTGGTCCAGAAAACGGAAGCGGAAGTGGCCTCCACCAAACAAGACCGCCCGCTTCCGGACTGGCTGGCCTATTCCACCACGTTGCCCCCCCCCGGGTGAGTGCGCGGGATCCTAACCCTAATTCATTTCTTTTTTTGAGATATTAACACACCAGGCGGCGGATAAAGGTTGTTTTTTTTTCCCATTACGGCAGCGAGGGAGTTCGAACTATCTTCACGTAGGAACAGAGGCCAATCCGTTTTTCTCTCTTCCCCCCCCCCATTTTTCGGTGAGTATGGTACGACCCGCCCTCCCTTGCCTCCATATTTGGAAATGAGACGAGGGCCTGGGTGGGGTCAAAAGAGCGCAAGTGAAAAAAAAAAAAAGCGAGGAGTTCTACTTCTCCGCGCCCTCGCGGGTTGGTTTGTAGCCAATGAGGGTGAAGTAAGAAGGGGAGCGTGTGGCCAATGGCGAGGCTCGACCGCTGAGGCGGAAGGGGCGGGAGTCTCCGGGCAGAGAGATCTCGGGGGAGATTTTCGGCGAGATCCTTTTTCCCTTCACCCTCCTTCTCGCCGCTATGGCGGCTGGGAGTCTCTCTCGCGCCCGACTTCTGCATCTCCGGGGGATACGCGGCGCCCCTCTTCCCTTCCTGGCGAGCTCCGTATGGGTGTAACCCGGAAGGAGCTTCCAGAACCGGAAACTCCCCCAATAATTTCCCCCCCCGCCTTGCTCCAGCGCCCCCTCCTGGNCCCCCCGTCGAGCAGCAGTCTGCCTGCCCCCCCCCTTTCTCTTTCTGACGTCAGGGCTTCCCCAAAATCACACAGGCGGGCGTCCTTTCCAGGTTTTGCTGCCTCGGATCCCCTGCAGGACCCAGCGATCCGGGTTCCGATCCCGCCGAAAGGGTTTGGCCGCCGCCTCGCCTCTTCTCCGCCTCCGCTCCCGTCCTGCCAAGCTCTCCAACCCAGCGTCCTTTTTCCATGCAGGCCTCCACCGCCCTCACCTTGCCTTCTGCCCCTCCCTCTCTCGCCTTTGCCCCCCCCCAGGGCCGGCATCCCTCCGGAGCCCACCGCCCACTCACCATGGCAGCTAAGGGACTAGCGGCGGCTGCAACCCCCAGACCTGGTCCAGAAAACGGAAGCGGAAGTGGCCTCCACCAAACAAGACCGCCCGCTTCCGGACTGGCTGGCCTATTCCACCACGTTGCCCCCCCCCGGGTGAGTGCGCGGGATCCTAACCCTAATTCATTTCTTTTTTTGAGGTATTAACACACCAGGCGGCGGATAAAGGTTGTTTTTTTTTCCCATTACGGCAGCGAGGGAGTTCGAACTATCTTCACGTAGGAACAGAGGCCAATCCGTTTTTCTCTCTTCCCCCCCCCATTTTTCGGTGAGTATGGTACGACCCGCCCTCCCTTGCCTCCATATTTGGAAATGAGACGAGGGCCTGGGTGGGGTCAAAAGAGCGCAAGTGAAAAAAAAAAAGCGAGGAGTTCTACGGCTCCGCGCCCTCGCGGGTTGGTTTGTAGCCAATGAGGGTGAAGTAAGAAGGGGAGCGTGTGGCCAATGGCGAGGCTCGACCGCTGAGGCGGAAGGGGCGGAAGTCTCCGGGCAGAGAGATTTCGGGGGAGATTTTCGGCGAGATCCTTTTCCCTTCACCCTCCTTCTCGCCGCTATGGCGGCTGGGAGTCTCTCTCGCGCCCGACTTCTGCATCTCCGGGGGATACGCGGCGCCCCTCTTCCCTTCCTGGCGAGCTCCGTATGGGTGTAACCCGGAAGGAGCTTCCAGAACCGGAAACTCCCCCAATAATTTCCCCCCCCGCCTTGCTCCAGCGCCCCCTCCTGGCTTGTTTCCCCCCCTCATTCATCATTTGTTTCTCCACCGTCCATAGTTCGTAGTGCTTCCTATGCCCTTTTCCAAGCACCATCAGGCTCCAGTTCCCTCCGTCCTCGTTACTTGGGACGCCGTTCTCGCTGGGCAGAGAATTCCCTGAAATTTCTTTTTTTTTTGGTCTTCGCCTTCCCTCCGCAGGTGGTTCACTTCCATAATCCCGTCTGCAGTAGCTACCTTGTCAGCCTGCATTGCCGTATCAGTCCTTCTTTTCTGGCTGCCCTTTGTTTTTAAATAACTTTTGTTTTCCACTCTATGGATTCTTCCCAGTTCGGCGGTGCCTGCAATGATAACTCCAGCTCAGCAAGATTCCTGGCAGTGAAGAGCTACCTGTCTCCAGGATTTATGTAGGGTAAGATTTTTTTGGGTTAGGATAACATAATGTCATTCCCTCCGTCAGTTCTGCAAATTGTTAATGTCGCTCTTTACATGCTTGCATCTGTCGTGTTTTCTCTTTTCTTTTTTTCTTTTCCCAGGCCCAGCAACACCATGTCTGAACTGAAAGATTGTCCCCTTCAATTCCACGATTTCAAGTCTGTGGACCATATCAAAGTGTGTCCACGCTATACGGCGGTACTGGCCCGTTCTGAAGATGATGGCATTGGCATTGAAGAGCTTGACACGCTACAGTTAGAGCTTGAAACATTGCTGTCATCTGCAAGCCGCCGACTTCGGGTGCTGGAGACGGAAACCCAGGTCAGCTGGTAATTGGGCCCTCATAGAAAGGCCCTTCAGCTTGAGTCTTGCAGTTACTGTGCTTTATTTAAGTATAGTTGATCACACACAGTCCTTACATCTGTGAAAGACGAGTCATTTTCAGAAAGTGAAGTCTGAAATCTAAATGGCGTTTAAGGTGATCTGAGAAACTATTTAGAAAAGCTAAACTTGTGTAGACTTTAGACAAAAGTCACATCTGGCTCAGGGGATCGTGTCCTTATGTTGCTGCTGGAGGATCTTGTGTCACAGTTAGCTGAGGAGTTAGCTTCCCAAATGGTGACAGAAAAGAACAAGTGTAGCTCAGATTTGAACTGTGGGGTCCTTGGTGCCTCCGAGCTTGATTGTTTTCTTGCAGATGTTTCATTACCAAATTAGGTTAACATCATCAGTGCTAGTCTAGTCTAGCACTGATGATGTTACCTAGTTTGGTAGCATGCATCCCATATGCATTGGCTCAACCACACATAACACAGAATTATAGGCAAACTATTGTTCTGTTCCATCAGGGCTCTTCTGATGTTAGTAAGAATTCCATAATGCAGCAGTTCTGCTAACGAACCTCTTTGCCGATTCCTCTTTCCAAGACAGATATAGGTACCTTGCTATGTGACCTTTTAATCTACCTTTTTTTCTTTCTTTATTCTCATCAGATCTTGACAGACTGGCAAGACAAGAAAGGAGACAGACGATTTCTGAAAATTGGCAAGGACCATGAGGTGGGTCCTTCTATCAAACATAGCAAGCTCAAGAAGCAGAAGCTAGATGTGAAAGGAAGCCACAGCACTCCAGGACGGCCCAAATCCAAGAACCTCCAGCCTAAAATTCAAGAGTATGAATTCTCAGACGATCCAATTGATGTGCCCCGTATTCCTAAAAATGATGCACCCAACAGGTAATATGAAAGCGATTGCTATCATCTTATCCATTATCACCATAAGTATCAACATTATGAAGCACAAAAAAGAAATAGGTGCATAGTTCAGTAAATAGTTACAGCAGGAATGGGCAGTCTCCAGCCTTATATTCAAAAGAGGTGGGAGGAAAAAAAATGGGGCCGCTAAACATACCGCCCCCCCCCCCCCAGTTTGCCATCCCTTGTCTTAATAATATCTGGCAATTTATTGGCCCTCATTACACGGACTGCACTATCAGACTAAGTGCTCTGGGCTCTCCACATGTTGCTCTTCTATCCCATAATCTCCAATCTCAATATGACATGAAACCGAGGCTCTTGGATGGAAAAGGCTGTGTACTGCTTGTGCCGACTAGGAAAGATTCTAGCTTCTTAGTAATCCAGATTTTAATGTGTTATCTTAGACCAGGGGTAGGCAACCTTGGCTCTTTTATGACTCGTGGACTTCAACTCCCAGAATTTCTGAGCCAGCCATGCTGAGGGGAAAGGGAGAGGTTTCCAAACTGAGCCATGCTGGCTCAGGAATTCTGGGAGTTGAAGTCCACGAGTCATAAAAGAGCCAAGGTTGCTTACCCCTCTCTTAGACTGTCATGTTGCCTATTATAAGCAATCTTTCTAAACTGTGGTTCTGTTTCCTTCTTAACTGTTTGTGTTTATAGATTCTGGGCCTCAGTGGAGCCATATTGCGCTGACCTCACCAATGAGGAGGTTCGAACCTTAGATGACCTTCTCAAGCCACCTGAAGATGAAGCTGAACACTACAAGGTAAAAAAGCAGAAGCATTTTATTCAACCTGCCCTAAATTTGGATTGAGTCTTAATTCTCCATATATTCCTCATGTTAAACTGTTGTATGGTACTTACTTTGGATCTAAGACAAATTCTGTATCAGGTAAAACAATAGGACTAAAAAGCTGTTGGAGTCTATATTGAACAAGTTATTCACATATTGCTAAACTACAACTTGGGAGTTCCAATTGGCAAGACCAAGTAAGAGACAATAAGTGTTGCGGTTCAATATTTGAAGCACCACAGATTCACCATTTCTGACCTAGAGGTTCATGACAATTGTAATTGCTAAAATGTGTATTTTCTGTTGATTTGTCCCAATATTTTCTGCGAGTCAAAGCTTTTTAGTTGTTGTCAAGCAATAGGTTTTTCTAAGAATTTTAAACAGTAGCATTTCCAAATTTGGATGGAGGGAACAACCTTTTCCCTTTAAAAATCCTACAGGTACAAAATTGAAGAAAAAGTCTCTTGTCCATATGTCTGTGGAGATTCTGAGTCATCCAGGTCGTGGTTGTCCCAAATGTGCTTTTTCAAAAGGCAACTGGACTTCCTTTGTTTTTCCTTGAAAAAGTTTGTTTCTCATCCAAGCAGCTTCTTCAGTTCTGACTGAATGGTGGAAAATGGAAGGATTTATATTCTTTGCAGTCATCTGGTCGTTAGTACTCTCTCTGAGAGTCGATGGTTGCCTGAATAATGCAAATGGGTGTGGAACCTTTTTTGGAACTGCTGAAAGGATGGTAAACAGGAGATGGATGATGTCATATCCCAACTAAATCTTTTCAGCAGTTCCAAAAAAGGTTCCACGCCCATTTGCACTATTCAGGCAATCCTGAGGGCTCAAGTGGCCTCATTGACTCCCAGAGAGAGTGCTAACGACCAGATGACAGCAAGGAATATAGATCCTTCCATTCTCCACCATTCAGTCAGAACTTAAGAAGCTTCTTGGATGGGAAACAACCTTTTTCAAGGAAAAACAAAGAAAGTCCAGTTGCCTTTTGAAAAAGCACATTTGGGACAGTCACTTGTCCAACTTTTATCTCCCACTTCCATTCCTCTTCAGTGCTTCTTAATCTCTCTTGTAGAATGATAAAGGGAACCCTGCTTGTTCCATTAGTGCAGGGGTGGGGAACCTTGGCTCTTTTATGACTCGTGGACTTCAACTCCCAGAATTCCTGAGCCAGCCATGTTGGCTCAGGAATTCTGGGAGTTGAAGTCCACAGGTCATAAAAGAGCCAAGGTTGCCTACCCCTGCATTAGTGAAACTGAGGGCCTAAGACAGGGGTGTCAAACTCAATTTCATTGAGGGCCGCATCAGCATTGCGGTTGCCTTCGGGAGGCCGGGTGGGTGTGGCCAGGGTGAGTGCGGCCTACTGGGTGGGCGTGGATGGAGTGGGTGTGGCCTACTGGGTGGGCATGGCCAGCTCTACATCGTTCGCGTCAAGGGTGCCTGTGGGGGCCTGGGCAGGAGTGGGACAGATCTGAGGGTCTCTGGCAGAAGGGGGTGAGGGTGACACCTCCCCAGCATGCAACCAGGGGGTGGGGCCGATGTGGCAGGGGCTGGTTCCTCGCTGTTTCTAGACAGCCTTGTGGAGCTAAGACTGAATGCGTTTCAGCATAGATGGCCACCACAAAATTGTACATTGGCTCCCAACCAGCCTGGATCAGGGCCAAGGCAGTGGGGGCCGTTCCCTCACTGTTTCCAGGATGGCTTTGCGGGCCACATGAAACCACTTTGCGGGCCGCATCCGGCCCCCGGGCCTTGTGTTTGACATGTCTGGCCTAAGACTAGGAAAGTTGCAGGACAGAAAAGCTTGAAATTTTATCCATGTTTGCAACAGTGGGATTGCTGCAGAAAGAAATTCATTTGGTACTCTTTTGGCCCTGATCTTTGAGGCTACCTATCTGGAGAAAACATGTTTTCCCATTTCCATTATATTTTAGCTATCTATTTTTAGTATCTTCTCTGGCTTATCTTGAGGAAATTTGATCTACACAGACAATGGAATGAGATTCTGAACCGTGATGGGGAATGAAGGGTTTTATTCTCCCACCTTAGCTGTAAAACTGCTTAGCTCCAGGAGGGAATAAGAATATTGTGCTATAATCATTTAAAATAGAAAATTTTGGAAGGGAGGAAGAAAAATTTAATTGGTTGGAGGCAGCCCAATTAGAATTAGATCTGAAAAAAGGGACAGCATTTGGCTACATGTACGTATTGAGACACAGTTGAATTGTTTGGGGATATTTGCCTTTCTGGTGTCTGAGCTGGCTCTCATTCATGCCTTGTTGTTCTGTCCTTGTAGATCCCACCCTTAGGAAAACATTACTCCCAGCGCTGGGCCCAGGAAGACCTGCTGGAAGAGCAGAAGGATGGGGCTCGGGCTGCAGCTACTGCGGATAAGAAGAAAGGCATCTTGGGACCTCTGACTGAACTGGACACTAAGGGTATCCTGAGCTATTCTATGACAGCTTTTCCAGAGTGGAAGAGACTAAAGATGCCATTTTTCTAGAGAGCTCTGTTAGTTTAGTTGCAGAATCCATGCTTTTACAAGTAGTCCTCACTTAATAACCGTAATTAGGAGTGGAATTTTCATTTGTTAAGTGATGCAGTCATAAATTATGATGTCAGATGTCCATGCCACTTAGCAATGGCAGTCTTGGCAGTTCCTAGTTGTGATTAAGCAAATCAGCATGGTCCTTAAGCAAGGATCTTACGTAACTACGACTTCCAGTTTCCTGCAGGCTTCCGCATTGACTTTGATTGTGGGAAAGTCACGAATCATGACTATGTAACTGCAGAATGCTGCAACAGTTTGAAATCCAGGCTGGTTGCTGAGTGCCTGGCTTATGATCATGCAATTGCAGGAGTACTACAACTTTGGGAACTTTAAAGACTGATCGTAAGAACCACCCATTTGGCGCCGTTAAGTTCAAACGCTTGCTGAACAGTAATTAACCAAGGACCACCTCTGTAGGAAAAATGGCGAAAATTGTTAACCCTATTGCTAACTTTAGCTCCTTGCTTCTGGGAGCTATTATTTAGCAAAAACAGAAAAATCGGAGATTGTTTTATCTCTGTTTTATCTCTGCTTTATGTGTTTATTAGCTCTAGACCAGTGTTTCTCAACCTTGGCAACTTTTAACTTCAACTCCCAAGAATTCCTCAGTCAGGGATGTTGAAATGAAGCCTGGTTGAGATTAGAGGTTTATAGACTGGAACCGGCTGTGTTGGTTCCTGAACATTAGCATAGTATGTAGAATAAAGCCAGTCCCTTCTGACGCGTTGGTTTAATTTTCTTCATTTTTTTAAATGGTATGGTGAGAATCCCAGAACTGCTCACTGCAAAGTGCCACATTTTTTTGCAACGGATATTGACTTGTCCTTCCTGGTTCTCATTTGCTCCTTCATTCCCTCCAGATGTTGATGCTTTGCTGAAGAAATCGGAGTCCCAGCATGAACAGCCAGAGGATGGATGCCCTTTTGGGCCTCTCACCCAGCGCCTTCTGCAGGCACTTGTAGAAGTAAGGAATGAAAAAAAACAACAGCTGGCTTTTTCAGCTTCAGCAGGCTCAGATTTTCTGGGAGAAAATCTGGTCCTTCCCTTTCAATCCATCTCTCTCTCCCTCTCCCTCCCTCCTCTTTCTTTCTTTCTTTCTTCTCTCTCTCTCTCTCTCTTTCTTTCTTTCTTTCTCTCTTTCTTTCTTTAGGAGAACATCATCTCCCCCATTGAAGATTCGCCTATTCCGGAGATAGCAGGCAAAGACTCCGCAATTGATGGTGCCAGCACTTCCCCTCGCAGCCAGAACAAGCCCTTCAGGTGAGCAGAGCAATTATTTCCTTTTTGATGACATGTTTCATTCCTTAAAATGTTTGTCCCATTCATATTCAGCTGAGTGTTCATGTCCCATTCATGTTCAGGAAGCATTACAGCATATCAGCGGAATCCTGAGCAGATCTATTCAAAGTAATTCCTGCTGAATTCCATGGAGCCTTTTTGCTTGGAATACAAAGAACCCCAACCTTGCCTGCCTTTCCTGAGGCCTTCAGGGCAGTGTGTGTTCCTAGTCTGATATAATTGTTTTGGTTGTTGCCTTGGTGGAATATGTAATGTTTTGTTATGTTTTTAAGATGGTTTACTTCATGTTTCTTGTTTAGTTGCTCTGAGTCATTTTTTTTTTTAAGGGTGGCTGTCTAAATTAACAGAGTAAATAAATGTTTATATGGCTTTGAAAAAAAATCTAGACTAAGTAACTGAAGAAAAGTAGTAGGCAAGGAGAATAAACACTTAAAGTAAAGACCAGATTTAATGGACTGCATTTGCTAAGGGTGCCTGAGGAACTTGGGACTGACATTTCTGAAAGTTAAGGCAAATAAAATATTCCTGGAAGCTAAACAAGGTAAAATGGGCAATCTGCTGCCGTGCTGGAAATCTGTGGAAAAAAAAGGCAACACAGAGGGAGGAATAATTGCCCAGCCAAATGCTAAATTCCACAGAAGAGCAAGGAAAACAGGGAGTTATACTGAAATAAGCAATGCAAAGAAATTGCATTGAAAGTGACAGTGAAACCTGAAGGTCAAGAGATTATTTAAGAAAAGCATAGAGATGAAGTCAAGCGCAATAAATAAACAGATAAGGCAAATAAAAGACAAGGCAAAGATCAACTGGAGAAAGAAGCTATGAAAAAAGCATGAAATCGTTGTTCTCCCTCATTTGATGATGCACGCAAAGTTACAAACACTGAATTAGAACCAGAATTCTGAAAAATGAAGTTTTTTAAAAAAATCCAGAAAAGATTGCTCATAACAGCTGGATTAATCTAACCATTTAAAACTTTGCCAGGTGATGCAGTTAAAGTGATACTTACAGTGTGTATTCAGCTGTGGAAAACACAGCAGTAGCCAAGGGACTGGAAAAGATCAGTTTATATTCCATTACCAAAAAAGGACAGTCTTAAAGAATGCTTAAACTATTAAACAATTACACTTCTGCTAAAATAATACTCAAGACTTTACGATCCGGACAATTCCTGGAATGAGAATGTCAGATGTACAGGCTAGATTAGGGAAAATCACAGCTTTCAAGATCCAAAATGTCTGTATTTGTTTTATTGATCGTATAAAGGATTCTGATTGTGTAAACCACAACAAATTGCGAATAGTCCTTGAAACATGGTGTACCAGACTGCCTCATCTGTCCAGGATAGAATTGTCTGATGATCAGATGTCAACAGTTAGAACAGATTATACAAATGGCTCAGAACGTGAAGAGGAGTATGCTAAGGCTGATGACAGTCACTTTTAAGTTCTGTGTAGAAAATATCACATTAAATAGAAATTGTAACCAACCACTAATAACCTCAGATGAGTTGATAGAAGGAATATTTATGGAATCTCTTGTCGACAACAGAACAAACGCTGGTCTGCTGTTGGCTATTTTTTAAAAGCTGCACTAATGCAAGCCCAGTGCAGAAAATGAAATACTAGCTGACTTTATTTTCCTAAGCTCAAAAGAAATCACAGGAATAGTGACTGGTAGCCATGAAACAAGCTTGGAAATCACTACTTTTGGAGCAAATGCCTGGGAAAGTTCGACCCTCAGAAAGGTTGTGTGAAGAAAAAACAGATGCTTTAGATTGTTGTGCAGAACATTGTTGAAAATACTTTGGACATCAAAAACAACAACAACAAGACTAGGTGAAGTAAAACCAGACTAGCCAATGGATGCTGTAGTCAAGCTTAAATGTTTTGGACAAGCAAAAATCATGAGAAAAGATTCCAATATTTGGAAAAATCAAAAGTCTGACAGTTGACTGGATGCTGTCGCTGACAAAATAAGCAGGAGCGTATAAGAAATCAAAAGAAGCAGTTATCAGCAGCCGGTCCTGGTGAAACGGCATCCATAGGCTTACAAAGAATCAGTGGGCAAGTAAATAACTGAATAACAAAAAACTGTTGGCACATAGGAATGACAGTAAATTACATAAAACAATCAGTGTTATATTTAATAAAAAGATAAGAATACTTAAAAAAAACATAGGCAATGAGAGGATAGTAATATTGGCCTTCAGGTAGTGAATTTCCGGAAAAGTTCCATGGCTCAGCGCTTAATGACACCTGAGTTTGTCAGAAAGCTTGACAGCCCGGATTTGAGACCTAAGCACCACACAATGGGATGAGCTCCCATTCCTTGACCCAGCTCTGTCCACCCAACAGTTCAAAAAGTATGCAAAGGAAAGTAGATAAATAGGTACCACTTCAGCAACAGTGTCCTGTGTAGCTTTGGCGTATAGCCGTGCTGGCCACATGACCGGGGAAAGTGTCTTCAGACAACGCTGGCTCCCTGGGCCAAAACACAGAGATGAGCACCATGCCTAGAGCTAGACATGACTGGACAGGGGAAACCTTGACCTTTGCAGAAGGTGGAAACAATGCCTTGGTAAGGCCACACTTGGAATACTGCATCCAGTTTTGGTCACCACGAGGTAAAAAAGATGCTGAGACTCTAGAAAGAGTACAGAGAAGAGCAACAAAGATGATCAGGGGACTGGAGGCTAAAACATATAAGAAACGGTTGCTGGAATTGGGTATGTCTAGTTTAACGAAGAGAAGGATGAGGGGGGACATGATAGCAGTGTTCCAATATCTCAGAGGCTGCCACAAAGAAAAGGGAGTCAAGCTCTTCTCCAAAGCACCTGAAGGCAGGATAAGAAGCAACGGGTGGAAACTAGTCAAGGAAAGAAGCAACCTAGAACTAAGGAGAAACTTCCTGACAGTTAGAACAATTAACCAGTGGAACAACCTGCCTCCAGAAGCGGTGAATGCTCCAACACTGGAAGTTTTTAAGAAGAGACTGGACAGCCATTTGTCTGAAATGGTATAGGATTTCCTGCCTGCGCAGGGGGTTGGACTAGATGACCTCCAAGGTCCCTTCCAACTTTATCATGATTTATTATTATTATTATTATTATTATTATTATTATTATCATCATCATCATCATCATCATCATCATCATCATCATCATCATCTGGGCCAACAGATGGAAGAGTTTTAGGAGAACTGTTGATGTCATAGCCAAAGTTGCCCAGAAAATGCCAAAAGCCACTTCAGCTGCTTGGTGGAATTTACTAGCCTTCCTTTCCCATCAGTAAACAACAATTATTTTCCTGCAGCTCTGGGCAAATGCCTGGAAACATTCATAGTGTAAAGAGCCTTTTCATAGGTGTGGGAAATATATAGGGATTATTTAAAGTGGCTATAGAGAGGAGATGGAAGTTTGTTTGGAGGGTTTTTTTGCAAGAACTGGGGTGTCTGTTATTAGATCTGCCCTCTTTTACTATCTTGCCTATTAATATACTTTAAAAAAAACACACACCTTTGGATTGCTATCATACACATTATTTAAAGAACAAAACTTCAAAGTTGTGCCAGAACTTTTCCCCCACAAACTGTGCTGGCTGTTAAAATATGTTGAAGGAACGCTGAATATGTATGATGCCCAGATTCCTAGCATAGGTACTCCCAAAGTGTCTGTTGCTAAGTGAAACATTTGTTAAGTCAGGGGTGTCAAACTCAATTTCATTGAGGGCCGCATCAGCATTGCGGTTGCCCTCGGGGAGGTGTGTGGCCTGGGTGGGCGTGGCTGGAGTGGGTGTGGCCTACTGGGTGGCCAGCTCTACATGGCCAGCTCTACATTGTTTGTCTCAAGGGTGCCTGTGGGGGTCTGGGCAGGAGTGGGACAGATCTGAGGGTCTCTGGCAGAAGGGGGTGGGACCAGGGCAAGCGCCAAGGCATGGTCCATTTCTTCATTCCTCACAAAGGGTGACACCTCCCCAGCATGCACCCAGGGGGCGGGGCCGACGTGGCAGGGGCTGGTTCCTTGCTGTTTCCAGACGGCCTTGTGGAGCTAAGACTGAATGCGTTTCAGCATAGAGGGCCACCACAAAATTGTACATTGGCTCCCGGCCGGCCTGGGCCAGGGCCAAGGCAGCGGGGGCCGTTCCCTCACTGTTTCCAGGATGGCTTCGTGGGCCACATGAAACCACTTCGCGGGCCACATCCAGCTTCCGGGCCTTGTGTTTGACATGTCTGTATTAAGTGAAGTTTGCCCTATTTTATGACCTTTCTTGCCACAGTCGTTCAGTGAATCGCTGTAGTTGTTGAGTTAGTAACCTGGTTGTTAAGCGAATCTGGCTTCCCCCATTGATTTTGCTTGTCAGAAGGTCACAAAAGGGGATCACATGACACTTAACCGTCATATATACGAGTCGGTTGCCAGGCATCTGAATCTTGATCACGTGATCTGACGGAGGCTGGAGCGGTCCTAACTGTAAAATAAATGGTCCTAAGTCACTTTTGTCAGTGCCATCATAACTTTGAACGGCCTCCAAATTAACTGGTAAGTCAGGGACGTACCTGTAAGGCTGCTCCTGTTGTCTTGTCCTCCTCAGCGTACCCCACACAAAATCTCTTGAAGGCCGCATCAAGGAAGAGCTGATTGCTCAAGGGCTGCTGGAGTCAGAGGACCGACCGGCAGAGGACTCGGAGGATGAAGTGCTGGCCGAGCTGCGGAAGAGGCAGGCTGAACTCAAGGCGTTGAGCACACACAACCGGACCAAGAAAGTCGAGCTGCTCAGGTGAGATACAAGCCACAAGTCTGATCATCCACTCCTTTGTTCTCGACTTAACAACTGCAGCTGAGCCCGAAATTTCCGTGGCGAAGCGAGAAAGTTGTGAAGTGAAATTTTGCCCCATTTTAACCATCTTCCTTGTTAAGTGAATCACTGCAGTTGTGTAAATGAGTCGGTTGCCTAGTGCAGTGATGGCGAACCTTTTAGAGACTGAGTGCCCAAACTGCAACCCAATACCCACTTACGTATCGTTGGGTGCTGGGTGGGTGTGGCCCATTGGGTGGGTGTGGCCCGTTGGGTGGGTGTGGCCCGTTCGGTAGGCGTGGCTGCGGTGGTAACGGCAGACTGGGTGGGACTAAAAAGTGCAATCAATTCCAACCTTGGGAGATCTTTTTTTTTTCCGCGAGAAGTTGAAATTGATTGATTGAACTTTTTTTTTTTTTTTTTGCACATGGCGGCAGAGGCCTAAAGCAAAAAGGTTTTATAAAACCCAGATGAAGGCCTAGGACTGGGGCGAGGGTGTGTGTGCCCACAGAGAGGGCTCTGCGTGCCACCTGTGGCACGCCACCACGGACCTAGTGTCTGAATTTTGATCATGTGACCACGCAGGTGCTGTAGTGGTCGCCAGTGTGGAAAAACAAGTTAAGTCACTTTTTTCAGTGCCCTTGTAACTTGGAGCTGTCACTAAATCAGGGGTGTCAAACTCGCAACGTCGCGTGACGTGTCGCAACGTATCGTGGCTTTTTTACCATTGCCGGCAATGGGGTGGATGTGGTTTCGGCATGACGCATCCGGCCTGCGTGCCGGCAGTTTGACACCCCTGCACTAAATGAACTGTTGTAAGTCGAGGACTTAAGCAGTAAAGTCCGATCAAGGAGAAGAGGATCCAGAGATGACTCAAGATTTTTGTTATGTTACCCTTACAGGCTGGCCAAAGAGGAACTTCACAGGCAAGAGCTGCGGCAGCGTGTGCGCATTGCGGACAACGAAGTGATGGATGCCTTCCGGAAGATCATGGCCGCCCGCCAGAAGAAGCGCACCCCAACCAAGAAGGAAAAAGACCAAGCTTGGAAGAGCCTCAAGGAACGCGAGAGCATCCTTAAGCTGCTAGATGGTTAATGCTACAAGACGCCTGGCCGAGCTTCTCCATTTGAACCATAACGGAGGCCCCAGCTTAAGGGGAGATGTCAGCCGCAGGTGTAGACTATATAGCAGCATCCCTCACTGGTTTGTCGTCACTCCTCTTGCTATATATTCCAGCTGAGACTCTGGGCAGGTTGGCTTCCAGCAGTGTGCCTTCTCTTTCTGGGTGTGGCTTTGAGCCCTGTGGTGTGCGGTGAAATGAGCGCCCGGGATTGCTTAAAGCGGCAGTCCCCTCTGTAAGGACAACTATGCTGTGGCATGGAGGCGAGACGGAACAAAATCTATATTAGTCTCGGGCACCAAATGCCAGGTTTCAGGATCTGTCAGCAGCATAAACTGGAACAGATGGCGGGTCGTTCTTGAAGTTAGATTTTGTTTTTTCCTTCCTACTGCTCTTCCTTTATTGGTGTGTTAAGGAAAACAGCACCTGGGAAGCGATAGGCACAGCAAAGGTCAAGTGTGGGAGCCTAACTTCTCAAAGGCCTGTCTTTTCTTACGTTTGGGAATGATGTATTGACTCTGTGGCTGCACCAGTTGTATCTCATCAGCAATTAGGACTGAGCTAAGATGAAACAGCCAGGGAAGTTATGGGTAGAATTGTTGCCCTACGGGTGGTTTAAGTAGATGCCTGTTGTATCTATAGAATTGTAGAGGGAACGGTGTGCCTCCTCCCCCGTGCATTTCACCGTTCAAACATAGTTACGATCCAAACCCTTATCAAGGATGAGGTCTGCACTACTTGGGTGGACATACAATTTTTGCGAGGCAGCTATGATGTCTTTACTTCCTACTTTGCTCGTCGGCTTCCTGTGGTGGTATTGAGGGTTGCGAGTTCTCCCTTACTAGCGCCATAGAGTTGATAGAAAGGAGTTGTCCTCCATGGAAACAAGCCGAGAAAGGCTAGCGGGTTCTGGAGCATTTGGACTTGAGCATTTGGAACATTCAACGGTCCAAGGAAGAAAAAAGGATTTAGCATTTCGGTGGAACCGACGGAGTGACCCAGTCTCACCCCATATTATTTCCAGAAACACACAATTCGGTATCGAAATTGCAGATGGCTAGAAGGGCAGTTAGGAAACACCAGGTAGGGTGATAGGGGGAGGAGAGATTCCTTCCTCCTCCAGAATCTATATTTTAACCCAGCCTCCCCCAGAAACTCCCAAGAAAGTGAGAAAGCAAGCTGGGAAGAAGCCTAGCCAAAAGTCTTTCATTAAAAAGAGAGATGGAAGAACAGAGCCATTCACAGGCAGGGCAATGAGCCACTGTGCTCCCGTGGTTCTTTCCTGCAAGCTGCATGTGGGCTGAACCCCTTTGGGGAGCTCTCGTTTCCACCAGCCATTTAGCAGGCAAACTGCACGAAACATTGGCGGGCTGGTGATGAAAAGAGCACAAGGGCGGGACCAGGCCATCTGTGTCCTCTTCCTCACTTGGGTACAGATCAACCATTGCCTCGGGAGCCTGCTTGTCTTCGTCAAAAAGCCGTGTGCATTTAGTCTGCCTGCCTGTCCATCTCTTCCTTGATCAATTTCACCTTCTGGCCTCGGGCTCCTTTTGTATCCTCGACCGTTCCAGGACGAGTGCGTTCACTCTCACCTGAAACTGATCCTAACACAGTGCTGTTTGGAGTGGGAGTGGGGGGCAAATATGCTGTTTGGAGTGGGAGTGGGGGGCAAATAATCATTCTGTGTTGAGAACCAGTTGGAGAAGAGGCTCGAGCAGACGTTTGCATTTGCCTTGGATTCTATCTGCCTGTTGTATGGACAGACTTCTTCCACCACCAACTCCTTCAAAGGCGTGACCGATCACTCCCCGTTTTCTTATTAAGCCTACGATTGTCTTTTTTTACCCTCTTCCCCAGTTTGGAGTCCTTTTTGCTTCCCCGTTTACCAGCAAGTTTCAACGTTCGGTCCGTTGTTTGAAGACTTTTTCAACTCCGTTGCTTTGGGAAAAAAACATTCTTTAGGGTGAGAGCCAGGAAACAAACAATATGTGCATGACGAAAGGTAGAAGAGGCGGCATTTGGAGAAAAGATCAGAATCATCCCCCAAAGAATTAATAAATCCAGGAGCAACTGGTGACTGTGGTGTGTCTGATTTCTTTCCCCCAAATTCTTTGGGGAGGGGCTGAGGGTTTGTAGGGCAGGGTGGTGGTGCGCAGGGGTTGAATGGCTGAATGTCTAGTTTCACACAACGTGTTGACTCGTTAAATATTCTGCGGGAACATCCGGTATATTGAACTAAAAGCTAATCAAACTGGTTGGGTTTATGCAGTACTCTAAAGCAGGGGGGTCCCAAACGCTGGGTCCATGGACTGGCACCGGTGCACAGCATGCCAGGAACCAGGCCGTGCACACAAACAAAGCCCCATCTATGGGATGCAGGCAGGATGCAAAATCACGCCCCCTCCGGTCCATGGAAAAACCTCTCTCCATGGAACTGGTCCCTGGTGCCCAAAGGTTTGGGGCCTGCTGCTCTAAAGCAACTCACAATGAGTTAAAAGTGAAGTTAATACATGGGGGTGGGATGTGGCTGTTTAGCTGCCTGGTGATCGTAGTCAATTTCATGAACTAACATGATCTCCGCATAACAGGATGATTGACTGTTGAATGATCATGTGCCATCAAGTCGTTTTCAACTCCTAGCAACAGCATAGATTTTTCTCCATGACGATCTACTTCCTCACCTGTTCTTTCATGTCTCCCAATGGTGCGTTCATGGCCACTGCAACTGAGTCTGTCCACCTTGCTGCTGGTTGTTCTCTTCCACCTTTCTTAGGATTAGAGCTTTTTCCAGAGAGCTGGGTCTTCACAGACTGTATCTGAAGTAGGATAATTTGAGCCCGGCCATTTGTGCCACGAGTGAGAAGTCTGCATTTATTTCTTCAGTGATCTATTGGTTTGTTTTCTTGGCTGTCATAACAGGCTAGGGACTGTGAAACGTTTGCCTGGGATATTGGTTTTAAGAAACATTCCACAAAAATACTTGCTTTCCTGTGTTCTCTTAAGACTGAAACGATTGGCACAGAGATGAAGACATGACAAAGCAGAAATGGGGATTGTCACATTCATTTTGCTGTTGTGCAGTATTATTATATTGGAAAGATGCAAAAAGGACAAAAATAAAACAAGGCACTCTATCTATCCCAAAATAATTCAAAGAGATAAATTCTCAAGGCATCGCTCAGGATTAAAAGCAGAGTGGAGTAATGGTTTTTTGGCAGCTTTACAAATTAAAAGGCAACAGGAAAAGAAATTGTAAATTGTACAGCGTAAACAACATTTCTGTTTAAGTTCCATCCTGGACACTTAATATTTTTAAATCTCAGCGTCCTGTCTTACCACTTTTCAATCTCTAAGAATTATCATTAAAAAAACAATTCATTAAGCTTCACTGGACAATTTTCTTTCTGCTCTTCAGAATATTTCTAGTTTGTATCTCCAGCTTGTATCACTATCCTTCATATTGTTCAAGGTTCTCTTTCATTAGTCTACTCTAACCTAATAGCCTGCCAAGCAATAGTCTAGTAGTAGAAACCTAATGACAGATTTTATTTTCCTGGGCTCCAAGATCACCACAGATGGGGACTGCAGCCAAGAAATTAAAAGACGCTCCTGGGGAGAAAAGCTATGGCAAATCTAGACAGCATACTAAAAAGTAGAGACATCACCCTGCCAACAAAAGTGCATATAGTCAAGGCCATGGTTTTTCCAGTTGCAATGTATGGCTGTGAAAGTTGGGCCATAAGAAAGGCTGAGCGCCAAAGAATTGAGGCCTTTGAACTATGGTGCTGGAGAAGACTCCTGCGAGTCCCTTGAACTGCAAGGCGTTCAAACTGGTCAGTCCTAGAGGAGATCAACCCCGACTGCTCTTTAGAAGGCCAGATCCTGAAGTTGAAGCTCAAATACTTTGGCCACCTAATGAGAAGGAAGGACTCACTGGAGAAGAGCCTAATGCTGGGAAAGATTGAGGGCAATAGAAGAATAGAGAGAGTATGAGGTGGCTGGATGGAGTCACTGAAGCAGTAGGCGTGAGCTTAAATGGATTCCAGAAGATGGTAGAGGACAGGAAGGCCTGGAGGAACGTGGTCCATGGGGTTGCGATGGGTCGGACACAAGTTCGCAACTAACAACAAGAAACCTATTATGAGTGTGGAATTGATAGGAAAAACCAGACATGCTACCTTGAACTAGAGGAAACAAGATAAATAATAAAAAAATAATAACCACTGTGTAAATGGATTCAAGTATTTGAGTTTTGCAGTCAGGCACCAAGTGGCTTTCAGTGTTGGTTGTGATATCTCTAAAATATGGGAGAATTTGGTGGAGATAAGCTAAGAAATACAAGGAAGATTACTGAATTTGAGCTGGCCTTAGCTAGAGACACTATAACTCACTTTGCACCGTTATTATGTTGGGACTACAACTCCTAGTAAATGGTTTCAACCAATGCTGGAAGACAGAGAGATCCGACACAATTGGAGGATGCTAAAGTGAAGAAAGCTATACTGCTATATAAGGATCTAGAGCAGGGGTAGTCAACCTTGGCTCTTTTATGACTCGTGGACTTCAAGTCATAAAAGTCCACGAGTCATAAAAAAGCCAAGGTTGACTACCCCGATCTAGAGTCTAGATCAGGGCTTTTCAACCAGTGGTATGGGTATCACCTGTGGTACATTGGCACCTGGCAGGTGGTATGTGACCATCCTAGAAAAGTGGTAGCGGGGGAGGGGAATGAGCTGAACCGGTGACAGCACTGCACAAGCCTGAGCGAGAGATGGCTGGAGCTGCAGGGCTGTCAGGGCTCAGTGGAAGCACTAGGATCAGCACCAGGCTCCAGCTGGAGCTCGGCGCTGATCCTGGCACTTCTGCTGAGCCCAGAAGAAGCGCCGATCAGCTGGAATGTTGCAGCATCTCCAGGGTCTTGTGATTTACATTCAGATGCTTGGCAACTGATTCATATTTATGACGGTCACAGTGTCCCAGGGTCATGTGAAGTGACCAAAACCTGCTGCAACCACCCAGCAG